TGATTTTGATAAGAAGAAAAAATTGCCCACAGTGGTTCAGACTAATGGCCCATCTAACCCAGCACCCTGTCTTCTGACAGTGAAAGGTGCTAGATGCTTCAGAGGGAATAAACGGACTATGGCAATTATCCCATCATTCAGTGCCGGCTTCTGCCCATTATGGACTTTCAGATCAGGAGGAACCATCAAGATCATCTAATCTGACCTCCTGCACATTACAAACCACAGACCCTCACTCACTCCTGAAATGGACCCCTTATCTCTGGCTGAGTTACTGAAGTTCTCAAATCATGGTCTAAAGACTTCAGGTCACTGAGAATTCACTATTTACACAACAGGTTGAACCTCTCTCTTGTCTGAGACTCCCTGGTCCAGCAACATCTGTGGTCCGGTAGGTCCATGGTTCTAGACCAGAGAGCTGGGTGGCCATGGAACTGGCCACAGCATCCCCGAGGCAGCAGAGCCTTGGCAGCCTCAGTGGCCTCAGGGAAGTGGAGCCCTGGCAGGGGGAGCAGAGCTATAGCTGCCCCCGTGGCCCCGGGGAGTGGAGCCCCAGTGGCTCCAGGGCAGCAGAGCCACATCAGACAATGCTGTCCCAGAGCGCTGGAGCAGTGGAGCCCCAGCAGTACCGGGGAATGGAGCTCTGGCAGCCCTGTGGAATGGAGCTGCAGCAGTCCTGATGCCCCAATGAGTGGAGTCCTGGCGGCCATGGAGCTGGGAAGTCCCGGTGGCCCTGGGGCTGTGGAGCCTGGGTACCCCATCAGCCCTGGGGAGCCAAACCCTGGCATCTCCAGAGCTGCAGCAGCCCTGCTTTTGCAAAGCCCCAGCAGCCCTGGGACAGCAGAGTCCTAGTGGTCCTGTGGCAACAGAGCCACGGCAGCCCCAGGGAGCAGAGCCCAGCAATGGTGGCCAGGACTGGCCAGTAGAGCTGGGAGTTGGTGGCCTGGAGGTAGGAGAGCTCCACTGGGTCTGCTAATGGATCCTGGGAGAGCCTGGAGTCCGTCAGCAGAGGGATGGAATTGACCTTCCCTGGACCTTCAGGACCAGTCAGGGAAGTCCAACCTGTACTTGAAACCTGCAAGTGACCTGTGGCTCATGCTGCAGCTGAAACCAAACTCCCACGCATATGTGGCAGTCAATTTGACCTGGGGTAAAGTCAGAGGCTCAGGAACACACAGTGCATGGGATTGTAACCCTGACCATCTTGGCTAATAGCCATTGATAAACCTGTCCTCCATGAACTTATCTAATTCTTTTTTGAATATTTTTGGTCTTCACAACTTCCCCATGCAACATGTTTCATGAGTTGACAGTGTATTGTCTGAAGAAATACTTCCTTTGTTTGTTTTAAATATGATGATTATTAATTTCATCAGGTGACTCTTGGTACTTGTGTTATGTGAAGGAGTAAATAACACTTCTTTATTCACTTTCCCTCCTTAGTCAACTCTTTTCCATCCTCATATGGATGCTGTTCTATTCCACTTATCATTTGTGTTGCCACTTAACGTATCTTTTAGGAGATGGGGCAACCAGGACTGCAGGCAGTATTCAAAATGTGGCCACTATATTTCTTATATAGTGTCACTATAGTTCTTATTTTAGAATCTATCCCTTTCCTAATGATTCCTAATATTCTGTTAGCTTTTGTAACTGCTGCTGCACATTGAACAGATATTTCCAGAGAGCTATCTACAAGATCTTTCTTGATTAGTAAGTGATAATTTTGACCCCATGGTTTTATATGTATAGTTTGGATTTTATTTTCCGAGGTGTATTACTTACTTTGTGGTTATCACAATTGTTACACAGTTATCCAGTTTTGTGAGATTCCTTTGTAACTCTTTGCACCAGCTTTGGGTTAGCTATCTTGAATAGTTTTATACCATCTGCAAATTTAGCCACCTTACTGTTTACCCTTTTTTCCATATTATTTGTGAATATGTTGAACAGCACTTTATATACTTTTACATCTCACAGTGGGAAAATATGTAAGAGAAACATAGTAGAAAAAATATTTTAAATTAAATAAAGTTACTGAGGGCTAGAGGCTTTCTGCTACACCAGTGGTTTTTTTGCTCAACTATAGTTTACAATGGATTCATATGTACCTAGAGAAAATCCTGCAGGCTAAGGTGGCTTACATAACCATTTGTGGGCCTGCTGAAAAACTGAGAGGAAACCTCAGAGTGACTACGATGACTGACTGGGATAAACATTGAATGAATAATCAGATCCGACTGCAGAAGAGAATCTGATACCATTGCTGAGTTTCCAAGAGGCTGGAAAGTTGCACGCTGAGTTGTAATTGGCTGTAACCCCATTTTACAACACCATTTTTACTTCATTGGTTTATTTTGACATTCTCAAAACTTAAAAAAAATGGTTTGTAATTTTTTCCTCCCCAATACACTTTAAGAAATTTGAAAATTTTCTACCAAATACTGGTACCAAATACCAAGCTCCTGAGTATCTGCAGCTCCTACTGAGTTTAAGCAGAATTGTTGCAAGTCATCTCTTCTGAAAATTAGCCTTTTATAGCAGGGGAATAAAGATGAGTTGAAACAAAACATTGAAAAATCCCTCTCTTATGGGAAGCTTCATATCTACAGTAAAAAATTGTGACTTGGGTTTATATTTGGCAGACAACAGGCTACATTCAGTACAGACGTATAGCTTGTGTGATCCCATTTACTGTTCAAATGGCCCAACCACCAGTATTGTTATATTACATTTGATTTTTCACATGAGCATCGGCACTATGAACTTCTTATGCCTCAGCTTCAGCTGAAACCAATGCCAAAACGTCACTGACTTTTGTTGGGGGCCTTAGGAAAAATCATGACATGCCAGTAGAGGGAGCACAAACACACAGAACTATTTTTCTATAGCTCTGATTAAAATAGTGATTTCATAGTATTTTTAATATATTGGGAGTTTGTATTAGCTTTTTTTTTTACATCCACATAAAGGAGGACATTCTTCATCAACTTAACATAGACTTAAGAAAGGGAATTTTTTTGGTGCTGAACTACTTGGGGCAACTTATTAAAATCCCGGCATTTGACCGAATAGGGTCAGCGGGATTGGGTTCAGAGCACCTGGTCTTTAGAAAAACCTCGCCTTAAATAAATCTGGAAAAAATTGTTAATTCTCTTTTAAAAATGAAATCCCTCTAAGGACTCATTTTTTTGCTTTTAAAGATTCAGCTTCCTACTCAATAGAATATGAAGCAAATACACTATTTAACCTATATCCGTGTCTCCTTCATTTATTGGTGGGCAATTTATAGTAATTCTTCTTATTTATATGATACAATACGTAGCAGACCCTCAGCTGGTGAAAGCTGTCATAGTTCCATTGCCTTCCATGGAGCTGTGACAATATACATGAGCTGATGAATTGTCCCTATGTGTCTATAGTATCCATGCCGAGGCACTTGGTTGGGATGAGGCTTAACATATAATACGTTAAGGCCTGATGTGACTCTTCAGTCACTGGACCATCCCATTGCAACTAGTTGTACCACCTAGCAATAGTTCGTAGAGCATTGTGCTTCTCTCCATGAAAGCCTGACTCCGTGGGAGAGGAGAGGATGAGGCCTTGAATCCACTGCCATCCACTCCCTTCTCGCCCACTTTGGAGGGTCTAGTACCACAAGGAGTTCGAGCAGCAGCCAGCAGCGATCCCATAGGATACTGGCTCAGAAGACTGTTGTGATGCTTTTTAGACCTCTGCTAACAGGTTGTTGTGCCCCATGGTTGTCCTAAGATCTATGGATTTATTGAAGGATCTCAGGAGAGCAAAAATTTTTGTGAGTTTTATCCTCTGCTTGCTCAGAAAAGTGAGAAAGCCCTGTCCTCTCAGTGGGACAACCAGACGGAAACCATGGGATGAAACCTGCTGCATTTCCTATCTCATATGCAGATTTTCCATTACAGGGAATATATGGCTCGGGCTCTTTACATTCCTATTACTAAACATCTGAGGGTGGCATTTTCATAAACACACATCATTGGCCAAACTCTGCTCCCACTGAAGTTAATGGGACTAGTGACAGCAAAAGGAGTAGAGGTGGGACAATGCTGAGTACTTTTGAAAATTCCTCTCTTAAATAACCAAAAGATGATGCTGGCAAAAGAACAGTGCAACTATTTTAGAAATTCATTAGCTTTTTACATCTCCAGTTAAACAAGTTGAGATTAACTTTACCTTAGCATCTGCAAAAACATGGAACAGCTAACTAGTATTCAGGATGCATGGTTTATGGAATAGACTTATTGGTATATAAAAATAAACTAAGGATCCATTATACCACCATCACAAATAAGTTGACCATTGAAATGGCAATCATAGCTTGGTATCATTGCACAGGTCTGTTCTGTATTTGCCTTTTTCTTTTTTCAGAGGAAAAGGTTTTGAATCATACAGCATTTCATTTTTTACAAACACAAGAACAAATTAACCTTGCCTTTAGAGTATTAGATGGTCGTGAAGGACTTAATGAACTAAGGAAGCCTTTTCTGAACTATATGAGGTTGCTACATCCATCCTGAAATTTGTGGATTGCATAGCACATTATACTGAATGATATTTTTTCACAACAATCTTTGGGTTTGCATGTGTATGTGCATATGCTCACCACATATTTCTTTCTTTTTCTTTTCTTTTCCTCAGTGACTAGCCTGTTTTTTAAAAGAAAAATGAAAAATACTACTGTATATTTTTGCAATTCACTATTATGGAAGTGCTTGCAATATAAGTCTCTCTATTCAGCTTTAGACAACAATTTTTCCTTTCAGATTCACACATAACTGGTTGAAGCAGAAGAGAGAAAAGTAAAACTGCTTATTTTAAT